TAAAACTCTCTGGTTTATATAGACACCAGAGAGGGCTAGGGTTACACAGAGTCGGTTATAATGGGAGGAGATCTTCATATCATATCGCCAAGCTTGCCTTCCACGCCAAGGAAAGTCCCATCCGGACACGGGACGGAGTCTTCAATCTTGTATCTTCATAGTCCGGGAGTCCGGCCAAAGGTCTTAGTCCGGCCATCCGGACACCCCCTAATCCAGGACTCCCTCAGGTACCCCTGCCAACGTATATAAAGGAGGGAGAGGAGGAGGTCGGCGGCAAGGAGGGGCATGCCATAGGGGGAGTCCAACTAGGATTCCCAATCCTAGTTGGAGTCTCCTTCCTTTTTCCAAGATGGGGAGAGAGGGAAAGAGGAGGAGAGGGAGAATGAAAGAGGGGGCGCCGCTCCCTCCCTAGTCCAATTCGGACTTACCATGGGGGGCACCTTTGCGGCCCTCCTCTCCTTTCCACTAAGGCCCATGAAGGCCCATTACTTCCCCCGGGGGTTCCGGTAACCCCCGGTACTCCAAAAATGTCCGAACTCTTTCGAAACCTTTCCGGTGTCCGAACATAGCCTTCCAATATATCAATTTTTATGTCTCGACCATTTCAAGACTCCTCACTATGTCCATGATCTTAGCTAGGACTCCGAACAAACTTCGGTCATCAAAAACACATAACTCTTAATACAAATCGTCATCGAACATTAAGCGTGCGGACCCTACGGGTTCGAGAACTATGTAGACATGATCGAGAGACATCTCCGATCAATAACCAATAGCGGAACCTAGATGCTCATATTGGCTCCTACATATTCTACGAAGATCTTTATCGGTCAAACCGCACAACAACATACGTTGTTCCCTTTGTCATCGGTATGTTACTTGCCCGAGATTTGATTGTCGGTATCATCATACCTAGTTCAATCTCATTATTCGCAAGTCTCTTTACTCGTTACATAATGCTTCATCCCGCAACTAACTTATTAGTCACATTGCTTGCAAGGCTTATAGTGATGAGCATTACCGAGAGGGCCCAAAGATACCTCTCCGATACACGGAGTGACAAATCCTAATCTTGATCTATGCCAACCCAGCAAACACCTTCAGAGACACCTGTAGAGCATCTTTATAATTACCCAGTTACGTTGTGACGTTTGATAGCACACAAGGTGTTCCTCCGGTATTCGGGAGTTGCATAATCTCATAGTCTGAGGAACATGTATAAGTCATGAAGAAAGCAGTAGCAATAAAACTGTAACGGTCATAATGCTAAGCTAACAGATGGGTCTTGTCCATCATATCATTCTCTAATGATATGATCTCGTTCATCAAATGACAACACATGTCTATGGTTAGGAAATATAACCATCTTTGATTAACGAGCTAGTCAAGTAGAGGCATACTAGGGACACTCTGTTTTGTCTATGTATTCACACATGTACTAAGTTTCCGGTTAATACAATTCTAGCATCAATAATAAATATTTATCATGATATAAGGAAATATAAATAACAACTTTATTATTGCCTCTAGGGCATATTTCCTTCACAAGGATCATAGCAGTTATAACATAGAATATAAACTCTTAATTATGAATATGGAAATATAATAATACAATATTATTCCCTCTAGGGTATTATTTCCAACACATGACATTTATCAAGGCGATGAACGTTAAGTCAATGAATCATGGTGAAAGTAACCTGACGATATTCATGTGTGTCCTGGAGAGAGTTTTAATCACTACAAGAAGTATTACTGCCTTGTCCTTATCACAATTAAGGATTGGGCCACTTGCTACACCTTGCTACTTTTGTTACTTGTTACCGATTATATTACTATCAAACCATATATCAAAACTATCTTACAACACTTGCAGTGAAATCCTTGCCAAAAACTGCCTATCAATTCCTTTGGCTCCTCATTGGGTTCGACACTCATACTTATCGAAAAGACTATGATTTGTTCCCCTATACTTATGCATCATCGATAATCGACATCTCAAGCAAATTCCTATTGGAGGCCATGCTCGATAGGATCGTCCTACACGACCGTGGTACTCATGTGACATGCTTCAAAACGGTAAGTGTGTGGCAACTGTTGAGTTTTTCCCTACGCTAGGGGATCAATGGAGTGGGTATCACGGTCAAGCCACCAGCCAGACAGAATGGCAGTTGCGGTGAATAGCGCGGCGGTTGACTCACACATGCACCGCTTACTCGCCTACCTTATCCTCTCATGTGGGGCATCTCCCTTCTCGACCCTGCTTCCTCTGTATCCCTTTTCTCTCTCGCTCCTCTCCCTCTCCTTTGATCCATGGCCACGACAAGCCTCGACAATTTGTGATGGGGAGGCGAGGTGAGGCGCGACATGAGCCACCACGCATCTGGTTGATGTGCGATCGCGCGCATAACGAGCCCTCCCTCCCAACCCCCTATCTCGACACAGGAGCAAGGAGGGGAGGGGATACAGGAGTAAGCTTGCAGACGCAATTTCGCATGAGCATGGCGAGACGCGGTGTTGCGACCATCTGTTTGGAGATGCTGGGATCGCGTCGTCTTTTGCTGCAACTAACATCGATGCATGTTGGAACTAGAGTCTCGGCTTCACCATGGTCGACACTGCAGCGTGCTGGAACCGCACCCTGATTTTGCTTCAACTGCCCCTCTACAGCTGCGATGGTGTGCGGCCGTTTGCTGGAACCGGCACTATGTGGAGATAACCAACAGCGTCTGGTGCTAATACCAACAGAGCGCAGCAGGGGATCCCGATACTTTTGCTGGAACCACACCTCTGTTTTGCTGGAATCGGCAACACGGACAGCTGCGACCGGCAATTATTTTTGCTGTGATTGGGAAGCTGCATCATTGGCTTTTGCTGGAACTGGCAACACGGGTAGCTGCGACCGACATTTTTTTTTGCTACAACTGATGATAGGACAAGCATGATGGGGAGTTGCATCGGTTTTTTTTCGACAACAGCGAGCTACAAACGACGAAGAAGGTGGGCCATGGTCGGGGGGTGAGACTGTGAGCTGTGCCCGACGAAGGAGTTTGCTGCGACCTGCAATAAGGGCATGTACAATGGTGCTATCTTAGGAGTGCCACGTTGGATAGATGATGAGGTGGAGGAGAGAGAACTCATAAGAAAAGGCTTGTCTTCTCTTATTTAAGAGAAGACAAGAGGTGATCTCTTAGCACAATATGTCTCACCACATTTTTAGGAATTGCTAATTATTGAAGATAAGGCTAAGAGATGAACCATTGTAGATAATTTTTTTTGTCATCTCTAAATCACATGCAAAACTTAAGATAAGACTATCTTATCAACCATTGTACATGCCCTAAAGAAGCTTTCAACAAACAACACTGCGGCATCGGTGCCGGTGAGCCTCGACGATGTGCGGCAAGGAGGTGAGGACGGTGGCGAGTGGACCGCGGAGACGAGCGACCACGCGGCGCATTGTACATGCGACGACTATGAGATTTGGGGGGAAATGGATCGAGGAACGGTTGCTCGGGAGGGAGAGGCCCGATCCAATGGTGCGTGGGTCATACGGCCGCGCGGGGACCGGCGCTGGCCTTTTTTTCAAATAAAATAGACGTTGTATTTTCTGATCTACAACAACACATGTGTGTGCGCCATGAAGGCCTTCCCGTCAAAATAAATAAATACAGCTCCGTTTCCCTCCTGTCCCTTGCGCTGGAACCCTAGCCGCCGCCAGGAGACCAATCTTCCAGCGCCGTCCTCTGGCGGCTCCCCTCCGCCGACGACCTCGGTCGTCAGTGGTGAGGGGGGCCGCCGGATCCACGCGTGTGGATCGTTTTTACTCTCTCGTAGTTTAGATTTTTAGGTTGTTCATCGTCTTCGTTTCGGCGGCAATGATGACAGCGCTGAATAAAGATTCTTTGGATCCTTCCTTGACAAGGCCATCGGTCCTATGGTTGGGGATGGATTTGGAAACCAGTCTGTTCAACCAAGGATGGTGTGGCGGCGGCGGCATCCTCGTGGTGGACATGTGTCCTCGGGCTCCGCCGTTGCGACGACGTTTGCTCCAGCGTCGACGCGGAGCTTGGGAGGTAGTCCAGGAGCGGATGCAAATTGTGGTCTGCATCGACGACATCTGGAAGACGGAACATGTGTTGGGTTCGTGGTTCGTAGATGGCAGGTATGGTTTTCTTCCGCGACGTCTTAGTCGCGGTGGGGTGCCAGATCTGGAGTTTGATCGCGTGTCCGGGGTGTTGCCCCGGTCTGATTCGTTCAACGGTAAGGGCTTCACTTTTGGCGAGCCACCTTGGAGGTCCGCAAAGCTGCATATCAGCGATGGAGCCGCATCGAGCTCGGGTGAGGAGGTGATCCATCATTCTTTTCTTCGGTGGCTGCTGTCGTGGTGCCGGAGGCAGGTGATGGGCATTGGTGTCAAGCTCAGAGAGGTTCTGCTAGCTTTTCAGTTTTGTCATGTCGGTCCTTACGTGACTTGTACTTTAATCTTTATGATATGAATGAGACACGTATTACCATGAAAAAAAAATACAATAGCACATGTCTGTGCATGTAATCTTTGAGTAAATTTTGGCGCTCGAGTCTTTGGTTTCCTCGCAAAACTTTTCTTCGGGTGCTCTAGTACTTCGCCGCCGACCGCGAGACGAGACCACGCCGCCCACCCACTCGCCGCGGCAGTCGCCCTGTCCCCCATCGCCTCTAGCTAGCAGCCCAGCACAGACCATTCACAACTCCTTCCTCCGCTCAAGCTCCCCTTCCCCGCCGCGGCGCCCTCGTCGCCCATGGCGTCTAGCTAGCAGCCCACCAGAGACCACTCACAACCCCTACGGCCGCGTCGCCGCCAAGCTCCCCCCCCAGCTCTTTCAGGGTGCTAGTGGTCGCCCTGCGGCCGGACCCGATTAGCGCCGACGGTGGATCTTTGGCTGCTCTTGTGGCAGAGCGCGCCGCGCAGACAAGGTGCTCGACGAATTGCCTGCTTGTTCTGGCTTCTGAGCTGAAGAATGCAGCGATGCTGCCGGGTCATTGTGTCGCAGCCGCCTGTGCTCCGGCCACATCAAGGGAACCGCGCCGCGTCATGGTTCTGCACTGCAGGCTTCGAGCTGCCTGAATGGTTCAGGAACCCAAAGAAGGACGGGGACTCCTTTGATGATGATGACCATGACGAATTTGTGCTCCCGATCAAGTCCAATCCCGTGGAGGAACGTATCCATGGAGGCAGCTCCAAGCCTCTGTCGATCCGCCCCGAGGCTGCTTCCCACGAGGACGCCGAGTTCGAGGCTGATTTCGACGAAGCCAGCAGGATCCTGACCTCTTGCTTTGCGTCTCCGGAGGCCATCGTGATAGCCATGGACTGCTGCCCTGTCAGGGTATCAGACCGCATGGTCGACAAGATCCTAAGGAGGTTTGGCAGCGATTGGGTGGCTGCGTTCGGGTTCTTTATGTGGGCCGGTGCTCAGGAAGGCTACTGCCACTCTGCTGATTCATACAACTCGATGGTTGACATACTAGGAAAGTTCAAGCAGTTTGATTTGATGTGGGGCTTGATCACTCAGATGGATGAGATTGGTGGTTTGGTGTCGCTGGCAACGATGACAAAGGTGATGAGGAGGCTCGCTGGGGCCAGCCGGTGGACCGATGCCATAGACGCCTTCAACAAAATGGACCGGTTTGGTGTTGTGAAAGACACCACAGCTATGAATGTGCTCCTAGACACGCTGTGCAAGGAGAGGAGCGTGAAGCGTGCGAGAGGTGCGTTCCAAGAGTTGAGGGGATCGGTACCTCCCGACGAGAGTAGTTTCAACACGTTGGTCCATGGGTGGTGCAAGGCGAGGATGATGAACGAAGCCCGTGATACGATGAAGGAGATGGAGGAACATGGCTTCAAGCCTTCAGTGATAACTTACACCAGCCTGATAGAAGCATACTGCATGGAGAAAGATTTTCAGACGGCTTACGCCATCCTAAACGAGATGCGTTCGAAAGGATGCCCTCCAAATGTTATCACATACACGATCGTGATGCACGCTCTAGGGAAGGATGGAAGAACGCAAGAAGCTTTGGATATATTTGACAAGGTGAGGTGCGATGGTTGTGCCCCAGACGCTTCCTTCTACAACTCTCTCATCTACATACTCAGCAGAGCAGGGAGACTGGAGGATGCAAACTCCATCGTCGATAAGATGTCCAGCACTGGAGTTCCCCCCACTGTTGCTACCTTCAACACCCTAATTTCTGCTGCCTGTGACCACTCCCAGGCAGAGAATGCCCTGAAGATGCTGGTTAGGATGGAGGAGCAGTCATGCAAGCCTGACATCAAGACGTACACCCCATTGCTGAAGCTGTGCTGCAAAAGGCAATGGATAAAGGTACTTCGGTTCCTCATATGCCACATGTTTAGAAAGGACATCACTCCTGATTTCAGCACCTATACCTTGTTGGTAACCTGGCTGTGCCGAAACGGGAAGCCCGCCCAGTCTTGCCTGTTTTTGGAGGAGATGGTGCTGAAGGGTTTTACGCCGAAGAAAGAAACGTTTGATCTTGTGACAGAGAAGCTTGATAAGGCGAATCTCCATTCAGCAAAGAAAAAGATTCAACTTCTCACCCTGCGGGCAGCTGCTGTGAAGCACACTGGTTCCCCTTATTTGAACAAGGATGGTGCTGCTGGACAGCATAGTGACATACTGTCAAGCGCTTATGGCTATGAACCTTAGGACAAATGGGAAGGTACAAAATCAGTAATACAAGTTTGTCATTCAACCTATCCGTTCATCGAAATGGAAAATCTTTTTTACACTGTCATTGATCTGTTACAATTCTGTTGCTCTGCTACATTTAACTATATCCGCAACACCGGAAAAGAAGACCAGAAGTTCCATAGCAGTACGGACATTGGTCAAGTCCCTTACAAGCTGCCGATTTTATTCCTTTTCATCAACGTCTGCAATATAAAAAGTATGTGGAAGCGGTTCACCATGAAGCATTTTAGCATATATAAACAGTTTCCTGCAAGCCGGTGAACCATTTTAGCATATATAAACAGTTTCCTGTGAGCCGTACAGAGGTTGTTCACGAAAATGCAACTGGACATGCAAAATCAAATAGGACAGCATTCAGACTTCACAAAATCAGCAGCCTTATTTAAGCTCCCTTATTTCCAACAGTTGAGCAAACACATTAATGCCTTTCTGATACCATAGAGTTACACGCATGGAAATTGTCGTCATTGCATATACTCCCACCATTCCAAATTATATGAAGTTCTAGCTTTGTCCTAAGTCAAATTTTAATAAAGTTTACCATGTCTAAAGCAAAATGTGCTAATATTTACAACATCAAATATACATATAGTATGGAAACATATTTTATGAGGAAACTACTGAAATTAATCGGTCAAACTTAAAGAAGTTCAACTTAGGACAAAGCTAGAACTTCAAATAATTTGGAACGGTGAACTGCAATATGACAAATGGTTCTTCATGCCTGCACCTCGTGTTTTTACTTGTAATGTATAATTCCATTTGTACTAGTTACAGAAAGTGCTACTGAAAGAGCTAGTACAAATCTGATGGATAGAGAATAATATTATGTGCTGCCACATTGACTACGTAAGGTCAACTTCAATGACGTTGAAAGGCGAGTCCAAGTAGATCTTCTGTCACACAGGTGTCATTTTATCGCTGCTTGCCGGTGATGACATTTCACATATCCAGAAGGAATAGTCAGATGCATGCCCTGGACATTTCCTCAAATATTGAGCAAATACGGCGAGGTACTGTTTCTTGAATCAGCCTCTATTTTGATCTTTCGTCAATTTCTCGAAAATACCCACGCCTGTTCATTAACCAGAAGATGGTTACATCAAGAAACAAATGTTCTAAAAAGAAGGGAAAACAATGATATTAAAATTAATCATCTAATGTAACAGCACTTTCTTGCAGAGGTAAAAGGATTTTTTTAGCAATAGTGCCTTTTTTAAGTTTTAACAAACAATATTATGTGGTCAAGTGCATTAGAGGCACACATCAAGAGAAAGGCATGAAAATATACTGTAATGGCAGCACATAGTGATAGAACAACAATTCTATACACATGATGCAGTATATCACTACCCCAAAACTTTTAATAACCTCTAGGAATTTAGTATAGTTATGTTTATGTCAAGACAGTGAATGCTTCCTCACACAAAACATAAAGGGGAAAGAAGGAAAGAATATGAGCCCATAAGCAAGTACACACAACGCAAGTCGTAGCCACTCGAGAAAATCAACTGCGTTGGCCTAGAAAAAAAAAGTTAAAGGTAAAATGCAAAAAAAGATGAAATACCAACAATGACTAAGTACATGTGGTTGTAGTAGATGCATGATAGATTATTCTATTTGTCACCATCCCTACTTAGTTGAAAGGGGGGTAATTGAGGCGCAGAATTATGGAAGTTACAGAAGGTTGAGAAATCTGTTTTTTAGCTAAACAAATTATAGCATATTGATTCATCTTTTAGAATGCAAATAATATATGGCATCTGAAGAGATATATCATACAATTGTGACGCATCATATTCTTGGCGCAATTTCCGTGGAGTATGCAAAAACCTTCTTTGTCCTTGTGTCTGCCATCCTGACCTCTCAAGGTATTCTTCAATCAACCTAACATTGCCAATTAGACCTTCAGATTATTTGTGAAAAATGAACTCTTTTTGTTTCTAACTCGAAAAAGAAGAACAAAGAGCTCACATGCTGCATATTGACTTTTGGGAAGCCGCCAATTCACGATCTGGGAAAGAGTCGTCAAATCTGTAGCTTAACCACACATACAACTCTAGGACCTGCAACGATCACAAATGCGATGCTGATTAATCTCATTTTAGAAACAGTTTAGAGACAGTGGCGTGCCAAAATGGAATCCAAATAATCACTGCAGAAACTAGGAACTCTCCAGAAGTAATGGTTGCCTGAAACGGCAAGTGTCTAGTCCAATATTTTTCCAAAAAAGCTCATCTTATATGCACATAGACCCAATGCAACAGAGTACTTGATAAAGCCCGCTGAATTATGTAATGATATGTTAGGCCCTATACAAAAGTATAAAATTATGGATCAATGAGAAATGAGTGCTAGCCCAGCATAGTATAGTCTCTAAGAAACTCTAGGCTCAGCACTTCAACCAATTATTAAGTGGTTTGCTTTAAGATAGTTTCTGTACCAACTGATACGTAATTTTAGTGTCAGGCCTCCAAAATCCCTACATGGGAAGTAGTTAAATCGACAGCATTTACTGATGACCTTTACATACCTTAATTTGAATGTCTCTAGCTTAGGACCGTATGGGATAATCCAGTTAATTAATATGACTATTTGAGGTGGTAGTCTACGCTATGGTATGTTGTACCATCCTTCGAACTCCCAAGTTTGATTTTTAACTTGGAAGTTTATATAATGCTGATGAACAGAAACTGCCTTCACAACAGAATAGACAATGCACATGTTTAAGAGCAAAATAATTTGTGATTAGAATAACATTGACAAGATATATAGTAGTACTGATATTGACTGGCAAATTACAGGTATTATCTGTTAAGCTTCATGCACTAGCCAACGCAACCAAAAGTCTGAACTGATGGAAAGGGCTAGTGCAATCCGCATATACTATAACACCCCCTCTCACGTGTGACGGGGAAGTCAACACGTGCAACCGGAAGAGAGTGACGGCGCGCGAAACTCACGTATGACTAGGAGGCCTATACGTGGACACAAAGGGGAGCTACCAGCAGTTTTTGGATAAATCGCGAAAGCCAGGACTTGAACTCAAGACCTTGGGCTCTGATACCATGTTAAGCTTCATGCACTAGCCAACGCAACCAAAAGTCCAAACTGATGGAAAGGGCTAGTGCAATCCACATATACTGTAACATTATCTTCTGATATACTACCTCTTTAGTGACCTAAAAGGTCTTATATTTCTTTACAGAGGGAGTAATTTGCTAGAGAAATAGAATATGGAACAACCTTGTGAACAGATTCAAGCTCCTGGAGTTGATTGTGTGTTGTAGGCACCCGCAGTGTTCCAGGTGTAAATATTTCTTTAAGCCGAACTGTGCCTTTCTTTGCATAGTTTTCTGCAAACTGCATCTTGAAAATTTTAGTGAAACTGTTTCCTAATTCTAAAAAAACATACAAATAAACAATAAGGTTAGAAATGTTTGCCTGTGTTAATCCCTGAATAGATATATCATCCCTCACATCCACTGGACTGCAGTATGAAGTGTCAGAAAGTGATCAGGATGCCAGATAGGTGACAATAGATTAGAACAAAAGAATCTAGAAAAAGGTATATGTTAACACTGGGATAGATTGTAAATCACCTTTGACAAAAGACGTACTTATCATGCAACGCAAGAGGCAACTCATCAACAATAGCAGCAACTTTCTGTTAACAGTGGGAGGAAGAAATGTGACTAGATAAAATATTGAACCATAAATCAATAGCAGAAATAAATCTAGCTTACAGTTAGTCAATTACAAAGTTCACTATTAGTCTATTGATATTAATTTAAGTATAATGCTAAGTTGTTGCCTTCTTAAAGGCAGTCAAACAGTTGGTGCTTTTCCATCGAGGTAATCTTATTTACATTGTTTAGATGTAGCTTGTAGACATTGACCAAACAGAGAAAAATGTGTTTCTTAATGAAATTAAATACCAGCATATCTTCGCAATCGGCAATAAAATAGTCCGGAGACAGTTTAGCCTTGTCCAAGAAATGTTCCTGCAGCAGAATGAAAAAAGGGTAACACATATTTCTGAGTCCTGTCCAGAGGAAATAGCTGTAAATACACACAAAGCATTGAGATTCATTCAATGGGAGAGAAGAAGATAACACATTACTGAAAAAGAAGTACATAGATAACAAGTAAACTCTAATTTATAATTGTTGAGACTTGTGAACAAGCAATGTCAAGCTGAAATCCAAACAAATACAAGATACCTCAAAATATAGATAAATTATTGTATGCGCATAATTGATTGCACCAACCACAATAATTGTTGAGTAACTCATTGCCCCATACAAACTGGCACAACAAAATTGCTGTCATCATTAACTATTTTTTACTGTAACATGTTATAGAAGTATGGAGCTGCTCTGTGCTTGAACCAATGCATTTCAATACGAAAAATATGGTACTTAGCTTACCAATATAGGGTGAAGAAAGTCAGTTCCATGTAATCGTGAATACACAGACAATAAATCAAATGTGGGAAAAAGTCCAGCACGCTGCAGATAAAGAAATGCAGCATCTGTGGTTAGCTTTTACAAATACGAGTAATACAGAGCTTCTTGAAGTTTCATCATATAATAACAGTTGGATTCATTATGTTGCTCAGTAACGGGTGGGCACCTCTATAATGGGAGAAGGTGACTTCAGGGATGAGTGCAGTAACGGGAGATCTTCAGCGTCTAAACAGGTCACTTCGCCAACTGGGAATTTAGACCCATATCTCCCAGCTCTGCCTACCAAAAGAATAAGACATGCAGGACAAGCTCAATTCACAGCTCAAGAGGGCTGTGTAATAAGGGAAGAGAAAACTGCCAGCGGTAAAACAACTGAAAAGCAAAGATAATACCAGCAATCTGTTTGATCTCAGGGACAGTCAGTTCCCTGGTGCAGATACCATCAAACTTCTTCAGTGTAGAGAAAATAATTCTAGAAATGTTCAGATTAAGACCCATTCCAATAGCATCGCTAGCCACTAGCACATTAAGGTCACTGGCGTCATCATTGAACATTGTCGCCTGGAAGCTTAGGGAGCATATCAATAAATTTATCCATAACAATCATGCCATGATGGAGAATAAAGTACAACAAGCAAGAGAGTGAATTTATTGCCTACAACCATAATTCGTGAACTTTTAATTCTGGCCAAGAGTTGTGGGCCTGTTATATTAATAAATTATATAGACAGATATAAGTGGTGTTCATTAAAAATCCTCGCAAATAGCAGGTACAAACAAACAATATAATAACTCAAAGTACATGTTCGAAGCATTGAACATGTGCTCAATTACAAAGCATTTAAAGCAGCATCAATAGAATGGGTCTTGTAATTGTAAAAATAATGCTTTATTGTTCACAATGTATATCAATGAGTAGGTTTATTAAATTAAATGTGCTGATATGCATGTCAACATGTTCAAATGGAAGGTGTGATATTTCACCTTACTTCTAATTATAGATTATGTCCTACAGATATATGACAATGACTGGATGAGCTATATGTTCTAATACTAGTATGATGGGGCATACCCAAATAAAGTATTACAAATTACCTGTTTCGTTCGAGTTTCTGGTGGTAATGAGCCATAGACTACAGAGCAAAGATGTTTTCCCGCCATTTCAATTTTTTTCTGCATGAATGAAAATTTGCAATATAAGGGTCGCTGAAGCTCTGTATTTCACTTTATCGGGCAGATGTGTGATTTTAATAAAAATATAGAGCCCTCTAGTCCATAAAATAACAGGATGATGCCTCAATGTCATGTATTCTTTCTTCAAAAGAGAAAACAATGTCATGTATTTGTGCACGTAGCCACATACTATGGGACTATGGGTATAAACTAACAATGGTAAGTAGTAATGTTACTATGAGCACCAAATTCTCCTTCAGTTAGGCTAGGAAGCGCAGGATCACTGGACCAAATCTTTGCACTGGAGTACTGGCGGCCCTGGGCCTAGCTGGTTCTTCTGGAAAGAGTCATGGGATTGCATTTTTATTTTCACTGCTTACATTTTTGGAGAATATTCAACCAGCATGTATCATGAAAAAGTGAAAGGAGAACAGAGATGCTTGTATGGTTGCTAAATACTTGTCGTGGTTTCAGTTCAAATTTGAACTAAAACCACGACAAGTATTTTGGAACGGAGGGAGTACAAAAACAAGTTCCGTCATGTTGCGTTTATGAAAAACAGCTGCGCTGGTAAATATGTTATCAATTGAACTACCTATCATGTCACATAACTACCATTGCTATTGCAAGACGACATGTCAACTATTACAACTTAGTGCGGAATGTGTGCCATCCTTACATTGTTGCATTGATTTAATACTTCTGCATTATACCTACAGCTTTATTTAAAACTGGCAAGGTTATTAATTATTTAACGAGTACCTATCATGATCCCCCCCCCCCAGTTGTTAATTATTTTGTGAGTACCGATCATGTGACCTCCCCTCCACCCTTCCCAAATTACTTTGGCACGGATGTACTTTTGTTTCCTTCACTGAGCACAATACCAAGAACCAAGATCAGTTGTTCTTAACTCCTAGTATGCAGATATACAATTTCCAGGCATAAAATAGTTTGATTGCCAAGGTCAAGTAATTGTCCCTTCCCTTTTTCTGGGGATTAAAAAGTGTGGTGTTCAAAACTTAAAATTGGATAGAGTTAAACAGCTCTAGATTCAAGGGGTTTTGTCATACATGAGTACAGAGAGTTTTGATCATTTCCAAATTTACATGTTGACATCCAATTAGGCTGAGGGTAAATAAAGTTAACATTAAGTTTCTGATCTTTTTTCCCAAACTAATGAGACTTCCTCAGTTTTCTTTTGTATGACCCTCTAATTTTATGACATGTTCCCAAAATAATGAACCATTGCTGGAATATCACTTGAAGAATACCAACCTTAAGCTTATATATCTCGCGCCGTGAGAACGTTACCATGCAATCCCCTGCCTTGATGTTTGAGAAAGATCCAAGTGTAGACTTCAAAGGAACCAAAGGAGATAGTCTCTCATAATATTGAATCTGTTCAGCAACATAGACCCACCATGTTAGGATATTTTTTTTTTTGACTATGAGCAGTTAGGATATTTTCTATGTGACATATTGTTCCCAAGTGTTTCAATGCATCAGTACTCAGCAGAATTAGCACTAAAATAACTACTACATAGCATGATGGGCAGGATGAGTTTATAAACTTCACTTGGAAACTGTGTGCAATCGTACAACAGCCTCACAACTCTAACAAAAAGATCCACATGACCACAAACAGTTTTCATGCAGAGGTCCAAAATTAGTGTTACTACTTACTACACAATAGGGTTGCAACCTAAATTTCAGGCAAAGGCTTAAAACTGGTACATGACAGAGCATTACTTGAGTAACAGGTTAGAAAGCATACCTTGGGCACAGACCTAAGATAGACTGATTTTGTTATCCCCGATTTTCATGATTCCATCATACAAAATTGTGTGTGGAAGTAAGATATGATCAGTTCAGAAAATCACTGTCTGCTTGAACTGGGAGACCATTTGGAGACATGTGATGTGATATTTACTACTGTTTCATCCTACCTATATTGAGTAGTTACATCGTCTTACTCTTGTACAAAGAATTAAATTCACTGTCCATGTGGGGGAAAAAATTTCAATTTCATGACTAGTGTACTATCCTGGCAGAGGAACATAAGTGGCAACCTTAATACAATTCAATTTGACAACTATCATGTGTGTAGAAGACATTACATGCTGGGTACATTAATAATCATCAGAAATTACGTGAGTTTTGGTTAAATTACCGTAACCACATCATCAGTAGCTTCAAGCAATCGCTGAACAATAGGGACAACAGCTGGGTCACCACAAACATGAAGCTCATCTGAACAAAGCCCCAGAAGTGCACGTGTAAATGAACAACCCCTTGTTCTACAGCCAACCATCTACTACATCAAAGCAAATGAAATGAGAATTATGAGGAACATTCCAAATAATATTTCGTAGACAGTTGAATGTATGGTTAGTTGGATGGTTTATTGAAAAAATAGCTTGATAAGTCTCAACTTTCTCATCTGTAATATCAATAGACACTACTTTATTTAAATAATAATAATAATAATAATAATAATAATAATAATAATAAAGTACAAATATACATTTTCCTAGCAAGTGCGCAAAATGTGGATCACTACATACCTGAATTTCATCAATAACAGCGCATTGATACTCAGTCGTCACATCAGCCATCTCAACGGTCACTGAGCTATGCTTTGCACCTTCAATTTCTTCCCTTTCTTGTCCAGTAGTCAAGTTACAGGGGACACTAGCTTTGTTTAATCTTTCTGCTACCTCCCGTGCTAACAATCTTAGAGGTCCACAGTACACACCTACATCATTTGGTTAGAAATCAGAGCAGTCATTTAAAATGTATGCTCTTTCAGTTTGACTGGCTAGATCAAAACAGTACCTGAAGAGCTTGCTTCTAATCGTTTGAGAGCATTATGTGTTTTCCCACTGTTTGTAGGACCAACGTGCAAAAATACATTGCGCTTCTTTTCTCGGGCATTTGGATACCATAAATGAGGATGCCTGTTACTCAAGATAGCACAGAACTTAATTCAAGTCTTTATGGGACAATGAGGAAAACAGTGTTTACAACATATTTTGGCACATAATTAATCTCGAAAAGTTACACTGCACTTTGGTGTGACGATTGCTTAGGCTAATTAAACGAACTAAAATAGCATGTGCACCACTGTTGTGTCAGTAGTTATCATATTTGAAACAAGAATAATATTGCCTACTTTTGTTTTCACTTAATTAGATTAATCATACTGGAAACCAGCATCCCACACTGGGCGATTGTTTTAAGAAGGCAAGAAACAGATTCCCTTGAAGATATAGTACATTGGTACATAATGCACACATTATACACTGACAAGAATATGGAGAGGAAACTTAGTTTTTTTTTTTTTGCGAATAGAAGAAACTTAGATATTAGGTAGTGAAAGGAGCACGAAATGTATTCTTACGTCATATCAGTGAAATCAAACTTCCCAGAGTTGTGGTTGCCCCTCCAAAATCTCAAATTGGCAGAATTGACCAACGGATGTAGATCAGAATCGGAGAGAAGGCAACGGATATAAACATCTGTACACAAAAAGTGTTACAAAAAAAAAAACCTTAGCACAATGGACCAACCTACCAAAGTTTTGGCACCATAAAGCATATTGCAGAGACTAACAGTTCACACTAGTAATCACAATGCAAGTGACTAACACACTGGCGAGCGCCATCTCCTGACTCTGCTTTTTCTAGCTAGCATGGTAAGGAGAAGCTGCATGTGCGACTGATAGCTCTCGGAGACAGTCCAATGTGCTTACAGAAGTGAATAATATTGTTCAAATCACAACAGACTAGGTTTCCATAGATGACATATTCACCCCAAACAGAACTGCTTCCATTGTGTTAAGCAGTAATATCATAACCCCATAAAGGTTATAGTCCCTCCATTCAAGATGAAAGTTTCCAAGATGCAACTCTGTCCATTATTTTTAATATGAATATGTTGGTAAGATAAATTAAGGTAACCTAATTGTAAAGTATCGAGTTAGCTTGGCTCGGCTCGGCTCTTTAACATAACGAGTTGAGACATGAACTCAGGTCTGCTCGCTTAACTCACGAGCCAACTCTGTACTTGTTAAGCTCATTACACAGGTTAACAGCAGAATATGCATACATTAAATCTGACCATCTCAGTGCAAAAAGCATGTATCTATACACAAGATGCATGGATGCTTATGTATGCCACCGTAAACATGAAGTACAGGAAAACAATTTTCCCCAATGTAACAAACAGAAAAATCAAAGGGAAAAAATGAGTTCAAACTAATAGTCAAATTAAAAGAAGTTCGATTAGACGCTTTCTTGGACGTCTATTTTGCAACCGAGAAGTACTCTACATAAAGATAAATCCATAGCTATACTCTATCCATCAGAACAATACCCAGCCACAATCCCTCCTTCCAAAAGTGAAAACAAATTTTTACTAGGTATATTCCCCTTGCGTAGGTTCAGCCCATCATCAGATGGAGCGATTCAGAAAGAAAAGTCGCCTCGTCCATCTAGTTTGTCCGCCTCCGCGGCCAGTGCTGCGCGTCGGCCGTCGGTGACCTGATAGCTTATCCTAAGTTCTGAATTACAGACCTCGATCCCCTTCTGACCTCCATCTCCGCTCTCGGCCGGCGGTTGGAGTGGATGCATGCGGCATGCCCACGGCTCACTGACCAAGCCCGCCCACACCGGCAAGCCACGCGCCAGCGCCCGCGGCTTCTCCACGTTTGAGGCCACACCGCGCGCATGCGCCTCGCCCATGCCGGCAGTGCACGCCGAACCCAAGGTCATAGCCCACTCGCTCTGGACCCTGGTGTTGGTTAAGTTTGTTCAGTACACCCAAGTTGATTGACTGAAATTTTGATGTCCACTCCCAGTAGTGTTCACCCCATCTATTATTACGGCTGTGGTGTGTGTTTGAAACAGCAGAGGATGCAGTCAGTTTTTTAAAGAGAAGGGGATGAGGAAATTGTTGAATCTCCATTAGCTCATGATGATCTAGCATTGCTTGTCATTAGGGGTGGTCTTTTCTGTTGGAGCACCAAAATTAACTTACCACAGTTGCCCAGGTTTGTGTGAACTTGTCATATCTGATTTATTTGTACCATCTAGTGAACAATGATATATATCCCTTATATTGCGTGTATGACATGGTCAATTGGTCATCTCTAATTACCCAATTCTATTCTACTGATTTAGTGCCTTTTCTTCCATTTCCCCAGACAATTGACGCATTGGCTGACCCGACTGCTCCTCCAATTAAACATGCAGCATGAAGCTGACCTCCAAATGGCGCCGCATATCGCGCGCCCGGCCTCTGGCATTCCGCCGAACACACACCGTGCACGTGCGCCTGGCAAACATTGACGGCAGCTCACGAAACATCATGGACGGACCACGCACAGGAGTACAGACAGGACGCCCAGGAACCCAACAGGCCATTCAAGAAAGCGGGCACTGACCATGGCGGCACGACGACGAGAGCGCCCCCCGGCGCAGGAGCGCGGCAACCGCCATTTCGCCGTATGCTCCCCTCGATGGCACAATTCAGATGGCGGGGCACCAGAACCAGCTCCGCGGCGAGGGGGGTGAGGGGAATGTGCACTTACGTGCGGAGCACGGCACGTGGGGTGGGGTGGGGTGGGGTGGAAGACGGAGACGGCCGTGGCTTTCGCCGGGAAGCGAGGCGGCGCGGGAGGCGGAGATGCCGCTCGCGGTCGCTGGTCAAGACGGTTCGTCGCGTGGTCGCCAAGGCCGGAATATTCCGCCCCATCCGCATCTCGCTCGGCCCAGTTTGCTTCCGAGGCCGGCTTCAGGCCCAGCTCCTCCTCCAGCCCGTATCCGACTCGAGCCCACCTTACGAGCGTCGTCCGTCCAGTCCATAACCGAACCGGGCGGGCTCCCTTCGCGGCCCGGACACGCCACCCCCCATCGGCTTCGTTCCTCTTTCGCTTTCGTCTTCCTCTCCACCCAAGTCAGTCGCCCTGGCCGCGACGCCCCGCACCGCCGGGCACGCCACCTCCGCCGCCGACGCCGCCGACGGGATCGACGCGAGCATGTGAGCTTTCCTCGAACTAAGCAGCAAATCTCGTGATTCCTCCGTTGTTTGCTTAAGGGTTGGTGGTGCAGGACGCAGGCGGAGGCAGATGCCGGCGAGGCGGCCATCCAGCGCGCGCTGCGGGCGCTGCGGCAGCGGCATCTCGTCGAGGAGGGGGCCCACCGCCCCGCCATCGAGGCGCTCAACCGGCCCTTCGCCGCCCACGTAAGTACCAATCTCTATCCCCTTCTTACTGATCTTGCTAGCTTGGATCGAATCGGGCCAATTTGACTTCACCAGTGAACACGCATTCGAGCCACATAAAGTCTCAAAAAAGTATGTGTTGATGGGGTCGGCTGTGTGAAGTTGATTGTTCCTCTCTCGCGGTGAAACAGTGACTGCTGCTCAAGTAGGAGTAGCAAAACCACAATGTCGAACAGTTTCACTCAGTAATCCACAAAAATAAGTATTAATCCTTGCATTTGGAGCTTCTGTGGTGCCTTCTGCGTGTAGTGACTGGTTTGCTGACCCTCTTTGTAGGCTTTGGAGTGGAAAGAGAAGGCCGAGAAGAACGAGTTGGAGCTGCAGCAGTGCTACAAGGCTCAGTCCCGGTTGTCTGAGCAGCTCGTTTCCGAGATAAACGAGGCGAAAACGTCCAAAGCGCTGCTCAAGGAGAAGGAGGCACTGATTACGACTTTGCAGAGTGAACTCCAGCAGACTAGGTATTGAATGTGATGGATAGTTTTGCTGCTGTGCTTAATTGAGTATGAACATTGCCGTTGATGTCCGGATGAAACTTTTGCAGCGAAGAGAACATACAGCTAAAGCAGTCACTTGAAGAGAAGACAAACGCTTTAGATCTTCTCATTCAGGAGCACCAGGTGGCTAAAGCCGAACTTGAACGGGTGCTAACAAAACTTAAAGCTGTGGAGCATGAGAACACGCAGCTGGTTGAGCGATTGATGCAAGCGAAGATGGTGGAGGCAGAGAAGCTTAATGAGGTACCTGATGTCTCTTTTTATTATTGCCAGGACTTCACCGTTCCTGTAAAAGCTATCGCAAATTGAAGATTGTTCAAGGATTGCGCTTGCCTATTAAGCATCTGTTAGGCCCACTACGATGACACAGAAAAAAAATCTTCTCCCCTGTTAACAATGCATATTTCCCTACCATAGTCCCCAGTGGATCTACGATGAGATACCTCAAGTACCAGCATGCTTAATTGTGTATCATGACATAACACAAGGGACTTGCTGTACTATATTTGGTGATCTTTTCTTCAGTCTCAGTTTTTATTGTTAAAATACTTCAGCTCTTTAAGTTTATACGATAACAGAAGTTATCCTTTCATCCGTAAAACTTTGACTCTTTTTGGAATTGTATGTACTACCTCCGTCTAGGTGAATAAGTCATTCGCGTAGTTCTAGGTCATCGATTTGAAGAATTAAATATGTGTTATATGTCATGAAAATTATATCACTAGATTTGTACACGGATGTAGTTTCTAAATATATATTTTTTGTCACATATAATACATATTTAGATAGTTAAATCGTTAACCTAGAACTACGCAAATGACTTATTCACCGAAACGGAGGTAGTAATGTTGAAACTCTTTTCGCTTCTTGACTAGAGTGGAAATAGAAGAGCTAAATGCTTACTGATTTATGGTTGTATTAGCTGTCAGGGATGTTTTATTTATCAGTATGTTTTACATAGATAACTGTGCCCGTAATTTTTGTATGTACCAAAAAAGTGCTGCTTTAACTGGTGTGGAAAAAATTGTTCAGGCCAATGCGATGTATGAGGAGATGGTCCTAAAGCTAAAGGCAGCTGGGCTTGGCGCTGGCGGAATACAACACCATGCACAACAAGAAGCTGATGGCGTCATTCGGCGATCCGAAGCTGGGTATGTTGACATCATGGAAACACCAGTGCCATCTACATGCAGGATCACCATCCGTGCTCATGATGGTGGGTGTGGATCTATAATATTCCAGAATAACACAGATAAGCTAATCAGTGGTGGCCAGGATCAAACTGTCAAGATATGGTCTGCGCATACTGGTGCTTTAACCTCCACTCTGCAGGGTTGCTTGGGGACTGTCAACGATCTTGCTGTGACCAATGATAACAAGTTTGTAATTGCCGCCTGTAGCTCTAACAAGTTGTTTGTATGGGAAGTTAATGGGGGGCGTCCTCGTCACACTCTGACTGGCCACACAAAAAATGTCTGTTCTGTAGACGCAAGCTGGGTGAAAAGTTTGGTCATTGCTAGTTCATCCAATGACCGCACTATCAAGATCTGGGATCTCCAGACTGGCTTCTGTAAAAGCACCATAATGTCAGCAAGCAACCCCAATGCACTAGTTTTCATCCATGGCGATGCCATTTGCTCAGGTCATAGGGATGGAAGCCTAAAGTTCCATGATATCCGCAGTGGAAAATGCTTTGCCACGGTAGCAGCTCATGTTGATGTCAGCTCGGTCTGTGTAACCCGGAACAAAAACCATGTTCTTTCAAGTGGGAGAGAGGGTGTGCACAAGCTTTTTGATGTTAGAATGCCGAAGGAGGTAGTGGAGATTTGTGGAACATTCACAGCTCCAAGTAACAGATTGGTTGGCAGCTGGGGCAGAGCTTGTATAAGCCCGGATGAGAACTGCATAGCGTCTGGCTCCTCTGATGGGTCTGTTTGCATATGGTCGAGATCGAAGAACGAGGGGCCGACCATCCTAGAGGGCCACTCATTGCCGGTTGTTACAAGTGCATGGTCTGAGTTTGGACCTCTTGCCACCGCCGACAAGAATCATATTCATATATGGGCTTGAGACCCGTGTTTCCTTGGGTCATTCAAACCAGGATGCGGAGCTTCAATATGGTATTGCTCCATTCTTGAGGACACTCGTTTGCATGTAAATGACTTAGTTAGTGTCTAATTCAATTGTAATTATCAAAACTGACAGCACGGTACGGTCATCTGCTTTCCTCTCTGTATGTTTTTAGGGGGATTTCTGTCATCTGTTGCTGGTAAAATGATGGGTTTGCGAGTTCTTCGACACAATTCAAGTTTTTGTAGGGTTTAACATTTGCATTTGCGGATACATGCGTGGGTTTCTATTTCTTATGGCAAATTAGTGGATGTATCCCATTCGCCATTGCGAAGCCTAGCCAACATGGACGAAAATAGCATTGGCTTTATCTGGCTGTTAGATGCTTCCTCTAACAAACTAAGTAGATTGCATATGTATACACTGTTTTTTAACCCCGGTTGTTGTCTTTGTATGGGGCTTCAGTTAGTCTTGCAAAGGTTCAGCTTGAGATTTGGCAGACTAATATGGAGTGGTCTTATAGGAATAGGACCTGTTCGGATGCTCTCTGCTCCACACCTGCGGCTCCTAGAGCGGAGGGAGGGGCAGCACAATTTCAGGGAGTGGCTCGAACCCAGCTCCTTGTCTGTTTTGAGATTGAAAAGGTTCTGAACAGGCTCATAATGTTTCATTTTGTCGGATGCATGATGATGAACTAGAGCAAGCTCTGAATACTGAACAGTTATGTTTTTGTTTTGTTTTTGTGAGCAGTGCTAGATCAGGCGTCGGTTGGGCTCAAGATCTGGTTCTGTTCATTCCCAGACTCTACACACTTCTTTTTTTCTCGAGTACTATAATATTTATCAGAGGGTTGCATTGTGGATGATGCAGGAGGCCGTATGTCTGTCTGTCAAACAACTGCAACTTGCGTGCTGCTACATATGCGGCGCCGCTACATATGACCTCCAAATCCAAATCTCACAGCAAGTAAAAAAATGTTTCCCATGAACATATCACCATCAAATCAACAAATATATATATACACTCCCTCTGTAAAGAAATATAAGATTTTCTTTTAGATCGCTACTTGACCATCCTAGAATAATGTTACAGCACAAAGCGAAGCTAAAAATCCTCTAAAATCCCTGCCCAGTTGCTCTACTCTCGCTGTCACCGGTCATCACATAATGTATAAATTTGTTCTTCACAACCCACTTGATCCATCTATCTGCCCTGCGAGAAAGTGGGCTGAGAAGAACTCATTAGATTCCCACCACGGACACGGTCCACATCAGCCGAGTGCATTGATCACCAGAAAGAAACCGAGAAAGAAAAATTGGTGATGGGGAGGCGGAGTGGGCATCAATTCCATCGGCGTCACGAAAAAGAAACTGAAACACAAGTCGAGACGGGAGGGGGGAGGCGATCGGATCGGATCAGATGAGACGAGAGGGGACGGGGCCCACCGCCGCAGTGGTTAGCTGCAACCGTATGCCAAATCCGGGCCCCTGACTAGGACAAGGCACCACCGTGCTCGAGTGGCCAGGGCCCGGCGCAGGGGACATCAATCATTGCCATGGCCCATGGCCCTGGCCCTATTTTCTGCTGCTACTGCTGCTGAAGAAACCGCCAATTATTGGAGATGCAGTGAGCATCTTGCAGCAAGGCTAGGTGAGGTAGAGTAGAGTAGAGTAGAGGAGTTGATTGATTGCAACTAGCTTCATCGGAAATGGTTCCAAGATTCTCATCACAGGCTCTGACAACCGAGAAATTCAGTGCATTTTCAACGTTCAATTCATTCTGGAAGCAACTATTCTGATCGCAGGCTCTGGCCAGGGATTGAGAAATTCGGTGCATTTTCAATGATCAATTCATTCATAAGCTAGTACTAATTTTACATGCTCGGATGTGATCTTACTCTGGTACAAACATGTTGTTGGAGCAAAGGCATGGAATTCCTATATTACAGACAAAACCCAATCCGTTTGATCATCTGATCGAGGAGGCATCTGCCTGATCATCTCATCAAGATCGATCGATCCAAGAACAAAATACTGACAGCATCGACAAGACTTACTACTTTACCGGAGCACGCACGCACGCACGCACGCATCATGGGGGAATTGCTACTATGGGGTGGCATGGGCATGGCGTCACAGGCTGAGGAAGCCTCTGCCCTGGCGCGCCGGCACCGGCGCCGGCGGCGGGCTCTCCGCCACGCCGTCGCCCTCCACGACGCGGTCGCCGAAGATGTGCACCGTCCTCGGGTTGGGCCCGCGGGAGATGACGCAGGTGTAGTCCTCGGACGCCGGCCCGTCGTCCTCCTCCGCCGCCGCCCCCGCGCGGGCGGAGCGCAGCGGCAGCCACGAGCTCTTGTTCTTGACGCCGAACTCCACGCGCCGGTCCAGGGAGGACGAGCGCACCAGGGCCGGCGCCTGCGCCCTCACGGCGCCCCGGAGGACGTTCTTCCTCCGCTGGGCCTCGTGGGCGCAGTCCAGCACGTCGGCGAGCCCGTGCGGGCCCGCGCACCCGTCGCACCAGGGCCGGCGCTTGCCCCCTCCGGCGTCCACGGCCGGGCCGGGCGACCCGAAGGCCGCCGACGCGTCCAGCACGGAGGTCGGGCTCATGGCGTAGGCGGACAACGCCTCTGGGTCCCGCGCGGGGCTCCCGATGACGACCGCGGCGCGGCCGCCGGCGGGGAGCGACGACGAGTGCAGCAGCCTCGGCGCGGCGAACGACGGCGCGCGAGCAGCACCCTTGCCACCTCCGCCGGCGTCGCACGAAGCCGTGGGCGAGCTGCCGGCGTGCTGCGCGGCGCCGTTCATGGACCTGGACCTCCTCCTGAGGATCATCTCCTGGACCTTCGATCTGAACATGTCAAGAGCCAGCCTGACAGAGCAGCCAAATCCCGACGCTTCCCTCCCGGAGAGAGCCGATCAGCGGCTTGCAGCAGAGAAGAGCAAGCAAGCTCGAGCTCGCTGGTGAATGGGGGCGAGCGGGTGTCACCGGGCGAGAAGAAGACGAGAGGAGGTGGGGAGAGAGAGAGAGAGAGAGAGAGAGAGGTGTGGGAGAGGGCAATGGGGGCGGGTGGTGATCTTAAAGAAGGGCCGGGCCGGGCTCCCCCTCTCGCACTCCACTGATGTCATCGTTGGTTTGGTTTGTGTGTGCTCTGCTTGCTTCCAAAACTGCAGGTCCTTATCTTCAGTTTTACCACTGCCAATAATATTTCCCTTTTCTTTTATTTTCCTGATTGAAGAGAGTTTGAGATTGTTCGCACACGAACACGTCACCGTGTACCTCCAACGCCGAGGGTGATGCACCGCAACTCACGTCGAAGGAGACCTGCCGGAAGCGCGATACGCAAGACAATCCGGCAGGCGCTTTTGTAGACCCGAAACCCCACACGCCCGGGAGGGACCTCGTCAGGGCGTGCGGTGGCTATGGGTTGCCCTAGGTCGACCTGATCGCCCCTAGGGCCTCGTGGATCGCCGCTCTGCAATAAAAAGAACAGACGAAGAACGAGGAAGAAGAAGAACAAGGGAGAAGGAAAAGTAAAGGTAAAAAGTGTAAATATATTTGTTCGATTGTGTGTTGTTCAATCGGCCATCACCCCTCAGGTACATAAGAGGCGGCTGGACTTCCCGTGCAAGGAAAAGGCTTGGATTCACGTCCAAAACCCTAGTCAAATTCGGATTGGTTTTGTCCGAACTTTCCAAAACGGTTCGGTTTAAACTGGCTGCACCTTGCGGGTAACTTTTGAGGTGGTAAACGACCTTGGATGAAAACGAGCCCAAAAACAATCTTGACCGTTTCGACGAGACGAACAACTTTTATGTTGAACGTTTTTTTATTAGAGTTCATCTTGAGGGTCAAATCGCTCGTGCAACACAGGCCGTTATTCGCGCTACCCATCAGACAGGGTGTCTGGTGGGGCGCGCCACTTTTGGCTTGTGATAGTGTTGTATTCGGATGGCTCTAACTTTTATATATGAACTCGGATTGGAATGATTCTTATATCAAAATCGATCGTTTCGACGAGACGAAGACAATCCATGTAGATCATTTTTCCGTACAAGGCAGTTTTGGGGGCGTAATGTGTCGAATAGTGTTCTGAATACAAAATCTCAGTATTTCGAACACAACTTCGGCCTTCGAGATGAGATCAGATGGCGATGGCCCAAACTTGAAAGATGTTCGTATCGACAATACGAAACTTTTTCATGTAGAATACTTCTCTATTTGAGGCCATTTTAAATAAGTTCTTGACTGTGCCAAAATCTGGTGTCAACACATGCCCCCCTGTTTTTCGGCAAAGCCTGTGTGCCGAAAAATAACTTGCACATAGCTTGCTTTAAGGACAATGTCAACACTCCATCGGCCGTTTTGGCATATTCTTAGGATGATAAGTTTATATCGGCCATTGCTTGTGTGAATATTTTGACGCAAGCTTGGGTGAAACTTTCTCAACTTCCTTAACAATCCGATGATAAAGTCCCATAGATATGTATCTCAAGGTCATCCTCGGAACAATATTATTCACCCTTTTGCTAGGATTTTGCTGATGATCAATAATAAACTTTCTCCAATCCTTACTTCGCCTGCATAAAAGTTTCATTAGTGGCCGAAGCGGTGGGCTTCGGTTCAGCCTTACCTATGTTGACAAGACCTAGCATCGGCTATTGATAGAAATAATACAATACACCATGGTTAACATAGTAGCTAGATGCTTGCTGTGCCAACTCTTTCGAATTGTCATGTCTAGATATATGAAGGATATTAAAGCAACCCAAGGTAAATTTTGCATCTAGACATATCCCAAGATAAACTATAAGTGATTCGTCAAAACATTGATAACCCTTATATATTTGTTGCACTACTTATAACGAATCACTGAAAGCCTCAATCTGTATAGCACCTACAGCAACCAAAAGCTCCAAACCGAATAAATTTTCATATTCGGCTTTTATTATTGTGCAAACATATTTTAAGTTGTATGAGGCTTGTTTTGGTCTCCTATTGAACTAAGGACGATGTTTGGATACCACACCGACCATGCATTGACATAATCTTAGGACGATAGATAAATATCGACCATTACCATGTAAACTTCATTCGAAGCACATATAGCCGAAATAAACAAACGAAATGACAAATCAAGTATTTCGGCCCTTTGGATCAGCAACAAACTTGTAGCTAATCAAATGTATAGTGATTTGGCAATACCCTTTCATGATGTAAGAAATTATATTGCATCCATGGATTAAAATAAGCCCATTGAGGGTTACCAATCATACCTGATGACGAATTCCATGGCATAGGCATTAATGGCATAGTTGCAGAATATGGATAATGTGTAGACCAAAGATGTTGAAACCTTCGGCTTGGTCCTTCGTAGTTTTCACACTTTTCCTTTTTCACCTTTGCCGCACTTCTTGTAATGGAAGCTTGCACATAATTCTTATTTTGAGCACTTCCTTTGGGAACCCATGCCATGTTCCTTTCTTCAAGTTCTTGTGCACTAAGTTTTTGTAATTTCTTCTTTTGCCAATACAATAAGCCAAGCGGGCATCTCGGCTGTGATTCTGTTTTGACCAATGGCAATTCCTTTTTGGCCTTGTGCACTCTCAAATTCTTTTCTTCAGATTTGGCACTTCGATTCTCAATAATTGGTTGCTTTGTCTCATTGCCTTTAGTAGCCAATGTCAACACTTTAATTGGCTCTTTTTCATTTAAGATCAAATCTGAAATTGCACTCTTACGACCATCTCTCTTAATGCGGTAAACCTGCTTGACCACCTCTTTCTTCTTCCTTGAGCTCTGGACCGATTCCTTATGATTGAAACGGTCTTTGAAGCGTGATTGTTCAAATGTTGATCTTCTTGGAGCTGCATAGTATTGGTGAGATGGTCTAGAATAAGATGGAGAATGTGCCCTTGTATCATACCTGTCCCATGATGAATATGTATCTATATGAGCATAGGGAGGCATCCACGGCATTGGCATTGGCGGCCCAAAATAAGGATATGAACATGTTGCATTAAAATTATCATTTTGCCAATACCGATCCTCATATTTGCGCCTTGGGGGTGACCTTGGTTTCTTTGCATGATTTGACCGATAAGCATCCTTCTCTTCACTCTTCTTTTGATATTTATCCAATAGTTCAGCGAAGGTGACTTTTGATCTCTTACACTTGCGCTTATTTCGGCCTTTGTTTTCTTCTGGTTTGCTTTCATCGATCATTCCATTTGCTTGTTGCCCCCCAGTCCTTGGCGTCTCCATTGTAGCTTCGATGGAATTCTTGCCCTCAAGATTATTTTCATTATGCTCTTCAACAACTTCTTTACTTGAAAGCTTGATCCCATCACCTGTAGTTTTTACCTTCTCTTCAAATGGATCGGCTTGAATCAGCCGATGCAAAAACTTTCTACCATCGGGACCAATCGGAATAGACTGGTCATCTCTTGGTGTCTCAACAAATTTCAATCATCCTTTATCAATGGCCGATTTAACTATTTGACGAAACATGTTGCAATCCTCAAAATTATGCTTGGACGAATCATGCAACTTACAATACATTCGTCCCTGGACAGATGGTTCAACATGGTGATCAAGAATTCTAATATAATTATTTTGCAACAACAAATCAAATATTTGATCACACATGCTTGAATTGAAGGTAAACTTTTCATTCTCTAGCCGATCTTGTTGTGAGAACGGCTTTGGAGTTAAGCAAACGAATGGTTCAGATTTTGCATCACACCGTTCGGCTATGCATTGTGTTTTGCACTCTATCTCCGATGTCTTTGGGTAAGATATTATACTAGCATCAGTTTTCTCAACAGAATTTAACCTTGGCTTTAAATTTCTAAAATAAAAATAGTTAGAACATACATGTCTCAATTGAGACCAAGTGCAAGCCAAGTATGAAATAAGCAAAGCTGCCCAAATAGATATGAACTTTAGATAAAGCAACAGGGAAAGCTTTGGCGGCAATAATAAGTCATTATCGGTCTTTATAAATGGCACAATTGGTTGACCGATATGTTCTAAAACAATTTTATTGCTAACAAGTAAATTACCCTTCTTCATTGGTCTTTCAAAATTACCTATGAGGATTTTTCTAATAGATGCATCAACAATAAAGTTGTGACCAAATCTGAAAATAGGTAAATTACCCGCTATGCATACCTCTTCAAATATGTTGGGAGAGCATGATGGTGGTGCCACTTGAAGAACGTCTTGCTTCGTCTTTGGATGGCTCCCCAACACCTTGTCATCATCTTTTTCTTGATTCTGTGCATCATTGCTTTGAAGATCCATGTCAGCCGAACTTTGTTCGGCTACTTGTTCTTGTCCTTGAGGCTTGTCAATTTCTATGGCACGAAACTCATAGGGCAGGAAGTAGGTTCCATTGACTTCGGAAAAATCAAGTATGGTTGTTTTGCTATGCTTTCCATGCCTTTTCTCAATAATGCTTGCCTCTTTGGATTTGATGGTCTCAGAATATATACTACTTGATTCGGCATTTCTAATAACCGAATTTTCTTTGTTACCTGAATCAACAACTTTATCTTTTTGAATTTGCAAGGCTTCTCGCTCTCGTCTAATTTTAGCCCACATCTCAGCTTGGTGAGCTTTAAACTTTTTCATCTCAATTTCCATCCACTCGTCATGAGATTGCCCCCTAATACTTTGAGACTCTTTCGGCAATGAGGTGCCGAAACTTTGCGATTTTTTAGGTGGTACACTGGACGGTACAGCACTGGGCGACTGCATCATTTGCACAATTCTAGCTTTTACAGCAGCAAAATCATGAGGATTCCCGCCTTCTATTAGTTCCTGGCGAATAGAGTTGCACAAATCCCAAGAGAAT